AATAAATATGAGCAAATTCTAATGTATTTAGATTTGGATATATTTGTCTATATTGATCTTTCGTTATTTTTTACGCTTTAATAGATCATCAAGTAAAGTTAACACAGAATGTAAATCATCTGCTAATGGATAAATGCCATTAGTGATTTCTTGATATGCGTTTGTTTTTGTCATATAACTTTTAATTTTTTCTTCAGATTCATGTGGATCCATAAAGAAAAATAATTTGCTTTTATCAGTTTGTCAGACAGCAATATTAGCTTTGCATAATTGTCGTTGCATTGATTTTATCATCTTGTACATATATCGAGCAAGTCTTTCAAGTTTTTTTGGTATTAGTTTCGTATATAGCTGTTGAAGTAAATTTTTTATTACAGCAAAATATTCAATAGCACATGTATCACGCGTTGAAAACATGTAATCGGTAAGATTTTTAACATTTTCATTATAGATGTGATTGTATAGTCGTTCAATAATTTCTTCCATAGGTTGTCGATAAAAGAAATGCCTTTGACAGGGTGGAATAAATTTCAAACCTTTATTAATAACCCATGTAAATATTTTTTGAATCAAAACGCGTTCGAATCGATATTTCAAATTTATAAAATGTCTTACAATCCGTCTCAGGTTTGATCTGATTCGCTATGAATATTGCCTAGCGATCGTCTTTACCTAACTACAGGCCAACGGAAAGTTTATATTTTAATGTTTCTAAAATGATAGAAATGAGATTAGAACAAGTAAATTAGCGAGTAGAAAGCAAGTGTACATACACCATTGAGCCACATGTGATCACATTAGTTGTAGAACGAAACAGAATCTATATATGCATCGTCTATTATAAACTTATTCCTAGATACATGCGTCAATGAGGTGCTGTGTACAAAAATATACCTATTTATCCAAAAAAAGAGTTTGCATTAGATAAATCCAACTACATAATTTTAAAAATATCTAATTATGGAACCTATTCGTTTATATTATTACTAAAATTTCATCATTTTCAATTTTAGAGTACCAATGTTTTAGGATTAAAAAATATATACATTCTGTCTTTCTTCAGAAAAAGAACTCTAAACTTTTTGAGAACTCTATATACTTCAAACTAAATTAATTTTATAAAAAAAACCGTGATATATATTTTCTAGTGAATAGAAAACGAATCTTTTATATATTTTTTCCTATAAACGAATTGCACAATCGCGTTTCGTTTGTATATTGATCGAAGCAATGGAATGCGTCTAGGCGCGGTTGCAAGTAAAACCGCGTCTAGACACAAGAAATGTTTCACTGGAGACGCGATTCCAAACCGAAACTCGTTGAGATGCGCTTGAAGTCTTACTCCAGTCGTGTTTAGATGCGGTCTGTGCAAAATTGCGTGCAGACGCGGTTTTTATTGTCTTTTGACTGAGTCCAGTCGTGTTTCACAAGAAAAACGCGTTTAAACGCACAATTTCCGCGTTTAGTGTTTACATGGGAATAAGCAATTGTTCATTCGATAATGTTATAATAGTATTGGCAAAATATAAACAAAGAAACATATCCGTATGGTTTCGAATATTTAATTTTCATTTGCTCCGACGCCATCGTTGTTCGTTGTATCGCCCTGTGACACCGGAGCTTCGTCGAAAAAAGATTTCACTTTTTGTTGTGTAATATAATCAGCTCTTTCGATCATATGTTTTTCACGTGCTTCAATAGCTAACATTAGTTGTTTGAATATATCTCAATCTGAATTGTTTATCTTTAATTTATCGGTAATAGTTACCAATTTCTTTTTTCCATTTTTCGCTATTTTATTTCAATAGCGTACTTTTTCTTCACCGGCTGCTATACTTAATTCAAGCATATCATATTGAAATCGGTCAATTTTTTTAAACGACGAGCAGATAATATTGTTTTTTGCTTGTTATCATCATCGTTAGTAGAAGATTGTTTCGATCGGTTAAGTATTTTATCAATTTTATTAAGTGAATAATCAAGAAGATTGAATACTGGTGATAAACAATTCGAATGGATGCGATATTTTAATATCTCAATTTGTTCTTCCATTTGTTTTGTGGAACTCACGTATATTTTCGAAGACAATAGTGGATGTAAGTTTGAAGGTCAAGATTTTCCGCCTCCCCCTCCCCATTACAAACCGATAGCAACGGAAGAGAACATTACAGACATACCCCCCCATTACAGACCTAGCAATCGCGCACAAAAGGCTTCAGATTCTATACAATATTTCAATGCTTTCAGAATTATTTGAAAACAACTATTTTTTATTTTACAAATAATGCATTAGGATAATAGTTTTGAAGGATATACGAAAGTTCCACATTTCAGCTTCAAAGAAGTTGCGCTAACAAGCTTTTTTATTATAAATTGCTTTCCATATATTACGAATAGAACGAATTTGTTGTTTATTAGGTTTCAAATCATAAACATATTGTACTAAACGATGATCTGTTGAGTCTAATTTTAAAATTTTTTTATTATATTCAAATTGTTGCTTTAATTTATGTTGACCTTTTCCGACAACAGCTGTGACCATTGGTGACATTGTGGTAAAATCTAATGGATGATTCATTTCAGATAGACATTGAGGTAATGATGGATTGCCAAACTCTTGTAATGCTTGTGATGCTTCTTGAAGTTGTTGTTGAAGAGTTGTTAGACATTGTACGATTAATGTTTTTGAGCGACCATAAGTATGATGCATACTATTCATAGCAGCCCATTTTTTTGATACACGGCCGGACCAAATATTTTCTTGCATGCTAATATCATAATAATACTTCCATTGACTTTCTCGTCATTGTACATAGAATAGACGATGTATTAAATAAGCATATTGACGAATATAGTTAATTTTTTCACTTGTATTTAATCGTTTAACAATTTTATCAGCACCTTCTAATGAACTGATGAACATTTGTTTAAATATACGATTGGTTACTTGTAAATAATCAGATATATACGAATAGTCATTATTATGATTAATTTCTTTTTTAGATTTTGAACGTTTCTTGTCTGATGTTTCATTTTTAGTTATTTGTTCAATTTCATTATTGGCCATCTTTTGTTTTTTTTTCGTGATGGTTGAGAAATAGATAATTGACTTAAAGACTTATCAATTGTATTTGATGATTGTTTCGATGATATTTCATTTCTTTTACGTTTGATTGATTCTTTTACTAATAAGAATGGTAGATATTACTTGATCAACTGGTACATTGACCTGTATATGATCATTAGCATCTTCTTTCATTTGTTTCTGGTTTTTCTGAAGGCTCACGTTTGACTGAGTTAAATTGGTGAGTCAATCTCGATCTAAACCTTTTCGACGAAGTAGTCCACGCCGACGTTGTGCTTTTCGATCACCACGGCTTTTTTTTTCTTGCGTTTCACCTCTTTGCCTTTCTGTGGTTGGACTGGTTCCTGTTTTTGCTGTTGTCCAGTCAACACTCGTGTTGGTGAAAGTAATTCATATTAGTGACCTTGAGCATCTTCACTTGGTGTTTTTTTAAAATTGATTTCGTTGTTGTCATTGTTTTGTTTGTTTCAATATAATTCATTTATACAGAACACTAAATATCTAAAATGCAAAGAGGAAACATTAAATCTCGAAAAAGTAGGAGTCAACAATTATGGAATATCTAGTTTTAATAAAGTTTACAAAAAGAAAAACCATCTACGTAATGTATAACAAAAGAAACAAAAAAGAATTCTGAATTTCATAATTATAGACAGCCATTTTGTGTTCCGTCGATATTTTGGTCGATGAATGACTTCAATGTTTATATTATTGAGTTGTGGTTGATTTTTCAAATAGTATTTCCATAAGGATTTAATATTTTGTTGAAAATCATATAGCTCTTCTTCATTTAAATCAGATGTAATGTAGCATAGTTGTTCTCTTTGTTGTTTTCCTCGTTGTTTTATTTTCATTTCTTGATGTTGTTGATCATACTCGATAATTTCTTCACGCATTTTATCATAGGTATTTTGATTTAAATTTGATTTCCAATTGGAAATATAAAAATCTTAGAACAATTGCTCAACATGTTCTTTTATAAAATTCATTGAATAGCCAATATTTAAAAATACTATTTGAACATCACGACATTCATTGTGAAAATCAGATAGTTTGGAGCGAATTAATGCTGCACACATAAGACATGCTTGAATTAATGTTGAATACATTAAAGGTGGATGATCCGATATAAAAGATAATCCATATGGTTCAATATCATTATCATGATTAATTATAGTTCGAAGTTGACTATTGATATGACTTATTTGAATATCGAGATAGGCGACATGTTTTCCAATTCAAAGTGCTATAGATAAATGAGGATTGTTTTGACGAACTATTCTCTTAAGAAGTGATTGAAGTTCTCGTTTTAATTTATTTCAAGTAAAAAACATTTCAGTAAGATATCGGTCAAATATTTCATTTTGATTAACTAATGTTTTAACTAAATCTTGTTGCCAATAGAACATATAAATATTTGCTAATAGATAATTGAACGGTTGATCAGAACCACAACCTTTAATTTGTCAATAAATTTTGTTATCGAAAATAAAGTATTGATTTTGTAAAACAAAACGAACTAACTCAATAATAGTATGAACAGTTAATCCTTGCACTTGCCCATCTGGTACATAATCATAGAGAAAATGCTGTAATGATTCCGTCAATTGCTCATGAGGTATAAGTGTACATAAATCATTGACGTGTACAGCAGCAAATAATGTCTTTGATTATAAACGAACTTCTGTGGCATAGTTTTCTAGTGCATGTACAACATTACTAGCTTTGAAAAATATTGTTGAATGAGTCGCTTGATCATAGATATTTTGAAGAAGACGGCTGATGTAACGAGATATACTAATAGTGAGTCCTAAGCAACATCCCATGACAGGTTCAAATGGTATAGCAGTTTATATACAGAAAGAAACACATTTTCTCAAAAGAATACAATGAAAACAAAAAAGAATACTTACTTGATGTGCATCCGGTAAAAAGTATAGATAATCGATTTGAACCATTGATCGCTGAACAGTCATTTGTTGAACTTATATATATCAGTTAGACACTGCCGTTCACGTAAATCATTTAGTAATAAAGTTCTTCGACTATTTTGCTTAAATGTCTTTGAACACTATTCAGATCTCTTGCATTCAATTCTTGAATTAATAAATAAGTACCAGTTCGTGTCATATGTTGAAATACTTTGTCATCCATTTCACTTTTTTTACACCAATAAATTGCATTACTATTGAGTATATCCAGTAACATACCACCAGCATTCGTTACTTCTCGTTAAAAACATTGATCATCTATGGTTCGTTCATTAGCTGGAGTACGTTCTGGTTGCCCTACAGAGGAAGATAGAAGTATTAAGTTAACATCACCTTCACCGATTTGTTGCCCTGGTGGTTCATATTCAGTTTCACTTTAAAAGCCCCCCTCCCCCTTTTAGAAAATCGAGCTTTTCCGGAAAATATCGAAGTTGAGTTTCTAGTACAGGAAGATGCAGCGAAGTTTCCTTCTCCTCAGAATATGTATAGTTTTGTGGCAAATGATCAGATGTTCAAACACTTTTCACATGAAACTCTAAATCTACTACCATGTTTTGCGAGAAATGTCCGTGGTTTTTAAAGGTTTTCAGTTGCAGAAAAATTGCGTTCCCACTCGCATTTTCATTCAAATAAAATATTTTTATATTAATCAGCATGATAGATGGCGTTAGCTACCCTCATCTATTATGTCTCTTAAAACGGTTCACTGGAATATATCATTGTAATATGATTTGTTTTGGATTTAAATGAAAAAATCCATTTCTAAAATTTCGTTAGCATTTTTCTCAAAACACGGTTTCTAGACAGGAAAATTGAAATAACTTCCACTTGACTCGGCATATAACCGATGTTGTTTTTTGTTTTAAAGACCTTAAACAGAGCTAACTTTTCATTGGACGGATTTTTGATATTAGATCCCAGGGCTGAGAAAAGTAGGGTTTACTGTCGTAAAGTAGCATTTTTTTATGCCTATTTTGCAAGCATATCCACAAAATTGCTCATAAAAAATAAATGGAAGGTAGTTTCAAAATTCCATCTGATGAAAAGCTGCGTACAGAGGCTAGCTACAATTTGAAACCAGTCTCAGCTCTGTACCCTTTCTAACGAGTGGTTTTTTCGATTCTCCTGGGAGGTAGGAAAACAAGTCGAAACTTCAATCTAGTCAGGCATATCAGGGTGAACTTTTTACCACAAGCGTTTCTCGTCAAGACAAATCATCCCCCTTAATGAACTTATCTTATTTGTATCATTATATTCTTCGTGAATAAGCCGATGAAATTTATGAATTAAATCTGTCATATCGTTTGCCATTTTTTATGCTAATGTGATAAAGTTACTGATCTGTATATATCGTAGAATAGTACTATATGAAATGAAAAAAAGTCAATTTAAAATTTACAAAATATGTTCAAATTTTTTTCACAAGTCATTGAATATATGTAAATACTATAGCAAAACATTTTGTATCTGTGTAGTTATATATCATAGTTATACAACGAAAACCAGACTTCATCCCTGACAACTGTGACAATAGAGTTCAATTCGGTAAGTGAAAAGAACAAAAAGGCATGCGTTCAAAATCCGATGTTAAATCATCAACCTCACCAGGAGATGAAAACATATCAAGCAAGTCTATCTGCCAGAGGTTCATCATATAAGAACACTGAGAAACGTGGAAATTGAAGAAAAATTCTCAGTAAAGGAACTGCTATATTCTTGGATTGAAATGGAATTTATCAGTCTTCCCTCAGGCACATAGATCGAAGAAAGAGTAAGGAATTTTTTCACCAAACCACATTATATAAAAATGAAAAGAATAATAGTTCAACGGAAAGCAAAAGAAACACACAATTCCAAAATGAAAACCTAAGTAAGAAAACTTAATTTGACCTTAAACCACTGTGTTTTTAACAAATTATTTCATGCACTGCAACACAAACGGAGACAATCAAGTCATTCATTGATTCCGCTGCGACCGATGGGACAGCAACTTCAGACAGCCACAGTGACCTTACGCAAAACTATCTGAATCCACAGAAAGATTCGAAGAAATGTCTTTTAACAAGAAACTTAATTCACTGAAAAAATTTGACCCGAAGAGGAAGTCATCATATAGTACTAAAATGGCCGCTGGCCATCGCAATCGCTTAAGACACTTCTACCAATCTAGTAGTACTATTCTCATAGTACATCGAGACAAACATCTTTACTATTGATCACAAAGAATTAAATAAAAATTCTGGAACCTAAGTACCCCGTGCGTTTCGAAAATGATTGCACTTATTGTATTCAGTGGAGATTATAGTAGAAGAATCGATGTTGCTACTGTTGTGTTGATCGACGAAATGAATTCATCACACGTAAAACAGATCTTTATATACCCGAAGGCGTGAGAGACGACAACAACCTAGGAGAAACGACAACAAAATAATGGTCACGTCTCATATTTGCAATTTCACGATGAACTTTTAACAACTATTTCTGAAATTTTACTTTTTAACAGTACTCTTTTTATTATAAGTAGAATGACAACGTGTATTGTGAAGCCCTGAATAAGTTAAGATACGCACATGCAGGATTTCATATGCAAAATATTGTTTTTTATGAGCCGCTCATGTAACAATCACCCTCCAAATCTTAAAAAATCATTTGGTGTTGATATAAATGAAAGCAAAAACTATGATAATGAGATATGATGTTCATTTCAATTTTTCAGGCCTTCTGCTTATATGTGATAGTGACATGCATTAATAATAGCTTGTTGTCAGATCAGAAAAAAAGAGAAAGCAAACAACATAAAGTGGCACATACTCTTCATACCTATTTTTTTTTCGATGAGATACGACTCTACTTGAGCAACAACATACTAAATTGCTTACTTGTGACGATTAGTAGCTAATACCAAATGTGCAACCAGAAGCTATGCTTGAATTCAGCAATGTAGGTTAGAAATGTTATAGAGTGTATACAAGTAGACATCAATTATTACCT